GGTAAATAGGAATACACCCTACTAGTGACTGGGAAAGGAGTTCTGGTGGTGTAGTAGTAGTTAAGGTATTTGGCTGCTAACCAAAAGGTTGGTGGTTCGAACCCAACAGCTGCTCTGAGGAAGAATGATGAACCAGTCTGTTTCCATGAAGATTTACAGCCTTGGTAACATTGGGGTCGCTATGAGTCAGAGTTGACTCAATGGCAGTGAGTCGAGTTGAGTGAGGAGGAAAACCTTCCTAAACCAGACTGAAAACACAAACTATTAAGAGCAACTAAGCATGTTTAACTACATGAAAACAAAGACTTAATGGCAAAAGATACCCTCAAAATCAAGAAGCAAACAATAGCTTGGGGAAAACTGCAATGTAGAAAACAGTTCATATCTATAATTGTCAAGGAGCTCTAACAAATTAACAAGGGGATAACAACCCAATAGAAAAATGGAATATTACATAGTCATTAAAGAAAATGAATTAGAGCACTATCAGGTGAAGTACTTACACAAGAAATTATTGAGAAAAGCAAGATGCTCAAAAGTGTATAATATGATACAAATTTTGGCATAACAATGACCAAAACAATGATCCTTAGGTATATGAATGAAGTGTATACTATACATTATAATAAAATTTTGTATATATGTATGCATATAAAATAAAAGTTCTAAGACAAATACTAAGACCAACCTATTGCAAAAAAGAAAGACATAAATAAGCCCAAGAAGAAAATAAAAATTAGCTATAAACCCATCTTCTTCCCCCATAGGTAAACGAACTTTGTAATATATACCCAACCATCCTTTTTTCTATGCATATGTGTGTGCATATACTTTCTTTTTTTAACTCCAAATTAGGATCATATGTTTCATACAGCTACGTTTCTTCTAATCAAGTTTTCTCATGTCTCTAGGCTTTTATTCCTGCTCTTCTCGCTCTCCAAACCCCACCCCCATCCTTTAAACTGCAGCTTAAATGTTTCCTCCTATAAGAAGCCTTCCCTTCAGAACCCCCCAACAGAAAGTGATTGGCCACTGCACATTTCATCATTAACAGCTCTCTCCCCTTCCTTGAAGCAGGTTGAATTCTACCTTGTATGAGAGTTTACTGTGTGCTCCTCACCTCTCCTGTTATACTGGGAGCTCCTTGTGGGCAAGAACTCTGTCTCTTTCATAAATGTATCCTCATGGTGCCTAGAATGCACACAGTAGGCATTTTGTAAGTATTGATGTACAAATCAATTTAGGCCTCCTGCCTCTCTCATAGTGAATGACCTCAGTAGAGAAAAAAAGAAACCAGACCAGTTGCCTTTGAGTCAAGTCCGACTCATGACGACCCCATGTATTTCAGAGTAGAACTGTGCTCCACGGGGTTTTCAGTGGCTGTGACCATTTGGAAGCAGACTGCCTGGCCATTCCTCCAAGTCACCTCTGGGTGGGTTCGAACACCAACATTTTAGTTAGTAGCTGATTGATTAACCATCCGTGCTACCCAGGGACTCGAGATCTCAAGATATTATGTAGCCATCGAATCAATCCTTTTTTTTTTTTCTTTTCTCTTTTCCATGACACCACATCGATCAGGTACCAAAATGAGTCAATTATAACTCATGGTGCTCTGTAGAACCAAGAAGAAATGCCCCATAGGGTTTCCTAGACTGAAATCTTTACGGAAGCAAATTACCAGGTCTTTTCTCCAGTGGAGCGGCTGGTGGGTTTGAACCACCAACCTTTCCATTAGCAGCCGAATGCTTAACCATTGCGCCACCAGGGCTCCTTGGTCTCAAGATAGTGTGCCTTAAATTAGTATAATCCAAGAAATGACCTAAGGGATAGATAACCTAGACTTTGGGAGGAAGAGGTCAAAGGTGTGGAGCAGTCCCCAAGGCCTGAGTAACCCCCAGGAACACTCAAGTCCACCCTCCACACCCCTCCCAGGGCTTTTCCAAATGCTCAGAAAGGAACAACCCGCACGCTGGGCTCTGTGTATGATATATATTTATATATATAATTGCTCTCATTTTATTGTACTTTATCCTCTTTTTACAGTAGATCTGACACAGGCATTAAATAACAGCAGAGAGAGACACCTGGGGGAAAGAGGAGCGGGAAAAGAGTGGGGCCCAACGGGAAGAGACAGAACCAGCAACAGAGAAAACGAGTGGGTTTAGCTGTGAATGGAGTGGGGAGGCCGCTGCAGCATTTAGAGGATGAGGAACTGAAGGGAAACCGGAAGAGAAAGAGTTAAATGCCTCTATAACTAAAGCATACTCGGAGCAGGAGGCCCCTCATTTAACATTCTATGAGCATCATGGGGTTTTGAAAAAAGGCAGAGGGGTCTGAAGGAGATGGAGATGGAGCCAAGAAATTCAGAGCCTGGGTGGAGAGGGTATTTGAAAATTTCAGGCTGACATGCAGAGGAAAGAGAGGGAGTTACTGATTAGTTGATAACTTGCTAAGAGAAACCAGCGAGAGTATGGTGGGGGTAGATCTGGGCCCAGGGGAAGGTGGTGGAATAGACCCATAGCCAGCTGATGTTTTCAAGGTGGCCACTGGGGACAGAGCCAAAATGGCTGCCCCTCCCCCAGCATTCCCTGGGAAGTAGAACTTGAAGGATATTCTGGGAAAGCTAATAGGGGGAAGGGAGACATTGGTAGAAACAAAGTGAATATTCAGCCTAGATGAACTCCACCCCTCTGAGTAGTGGCTAAGTAGGGGATGGGAGGGATCAGGAAGGAATTGGAGTGGGGGGACCCCGAGAGAATGTTCAAGAAGAAGCAATGCAGCCTTCTCTTCCATTCTCTCCTATGGAAAGAAACCTCATTTCTCAGCTCACGCAGTCAACCCAGGGTGAGAAGCAGAAGTGGAATGTGTGAGGAAAGAGGGAAAAGGCCACAGAACCAGCTTGTCCTTGATTAGAAATGGTTTCTTTTCAGAGAAGGGAGCAGGGAGAGAGAAGCAAAGACCTGCTAGAGGAATGAATTAAGTCAAAAGCCACCAAGACAGCCACTGTGTAGGGTGGAAGTGTGGGGGAGAGAAAGGCAACAGAGGCTGAAGCTTAGGAATGAAGAATGGGAACCACATTCATCTCTGAGAAGCCAAAGGCTGGGCATTTTCACAGCTGTCTGGGGACAGGAGGTCAGGAGAGGTGGATAGCTGTGAGGACATCCCTTTCACAGCTAACCCAGAATTAGAAGACCTCCTAACACCTCTGTGGCCATCTTGATGGAGCTAGACTTGGGAGAAGAAGATGGAAAATGTGTCTAGTCAGGGAATCACAGTGGACTGGGAAGTAAAGAGAAGGGGTGAGGCTCAGACAAATCATAGCTCTGTTATAAAAAATACCTTTAGGGTGGGTGAGGGAGGGATCAGGCAGGGTCAGGGACATTCCAGAAGCATCCACGGGAGAGAGGTAGGGGCGGAAAGAAGGGGCTTCAGGTTTTGTTGATGCGGAGTTTGAAGGCCACGCGGCCAGCGAACTTATCTCGCTCATCATCCGTGGCGATGTTGGCAGCATTGATGCGGCATTCCACGTTCACCTCCACATTGGGGGTCACGTTCAGGAACTTCACAGCAACCAAGGGCTGTGTGTAGTTCACCTGGGCCAGAGGAGGAGAGTGAAGGTCTAGGCTTGTGGCAACCCAACCTCTTCCCCAAGAACTGCTCCCCCCAAGGATCCATCATCCCAACCACCCATGGGCCTTACATGGAACTTTTTGCCATAGTATGGGAAGTACATGAGGTCAATGTTGCCATTGGCTGGGAACATGATAAAGCTGCCGAGGTTCTCAGCATCTTCATCTCGCTGTGGGGGTGCAGAAGGGTAGAGAGGAGAGCATGTTAAGGATGGCAGGAACCTGGAAGCTCACGGTTCCCCAGACTTCCCTTTGTTCTTACTTTCCCCCCTAAATTATTCCTGCCCCAAAATCTGTTTCCCTTGAGTTGTGAGTTTGTGTGTGTGCAGGAGGAAGGGTATCTTGTCACTCTCATCAGACTGGGATTTCTTGAAGGATGCTAATGACACTAAAGCCTCCTACATCACTCTCACCCTAAGTTCTTACCCCATCCTCAGGAATCACTTTCTGGAGCAGAGCCAAGAAAGAACAGATCGTGAGTAAGGGTTTAGTAGGAAGCAAAAGGGTTGTGAATGGAGAGGGATAGCAAGTTCCTAAAGAGAACAGGGGTGTGGGGAGCAGGGCTCTAAGGCCCACTTGGTGGTGGCAGGTGCTAGTAAGTCAGCAGCTACCAGATACCTAAAGAGGGATGAGGAGCAGGTGAGATAGGAAAAGGAGAGTAGAAGACATGGATAACCAGGGAACAAAGGAGAAGGTGGAAGGGTTAGGTAGAGAAGCCAGAGGCCAGGGCTTAGGCAGAGTAGGAGGGTGGGATGGGGTGTCTCTATCCACACCAAAACAGGCTTCTGTATCCTAGAGAGAAGCAAGAGGGGTGGGAGCAAGAGGGGTTCAAGCTTTATGGGGGCCCACTCTTACCCCCTTGTCCCTATAGTGACGGGGCCTCTGGGAGCAAAGAAGACAGGGAGAGATGAGTGAATTACATTGGAAACAATGAAGGACAAATAGGTGGACAGGTGGACAAAGTCTCCAAACTCACTTTCCCTGCACAGGTGACATTCATGCTCTGATTTGCTCCGGCGTAGAAGTTGATGACCTGGAATGAAGACAGAGAGTGATGAGGGTTAGAGGAAGAAGCTGTCAAAGACACAGGTGTCCATTCTTCTCACCCTCCAGTAGCCCCACCTCTCTTGTTCTCTTAGCTACTCAAACATCCAAAAAATCTTTCTAATCTTTATTAACCAACCAGTTGCCTTTCAATTGACTCAGACTTATGGCAACCCCATGGGTGCTGGAATAGAGCTGTGTTCCACAGGGTTTTCAATGCGGATTTTTTTAGAAGTGGATCACCAGGGCTTTCTTCCAAGGGCACCACTGGGTAGACTAGAACCTCCAACCTTTCACTTAGCAGCCAAGTGCATTAACCATCTACACCACCCAGGGACTTCCTAATCATTAAAAAAAAAAAAAAAAAAAACCCACCAAATCTATTGTCGTGGAGTCAATTCCAACTTATAATAACCCTATAAGACACAGTATTGTTGTTTGGTGCTATTGAGTCATTTCCTACTCACAGAGACTCTACGTTACAGAGCAGCTGGTGGGTTTGAACCACCAGCCTTCTGGTTAGCAGTCAAATGCCTTAGGCACTATGCCACCAGAGCTCCCATGAACAGAGTAGAACTGCCCTATTGGTTTTCCAAGACCATAAATCTTTACTGAAGTATACTGCCAGATCTTTCTACTCCTGAGCAGCTAGTGAGTTTGAACCACTGACCTTTCAGTTAGCAGCTGAAGACTTAACCACTGCACCCCCAGTGAAAAGCCCCAGTGAAAAGAAATAACTGTTGCCCCCAGCACTCTCCTCTGTTCTCCCTGAGGATACCCGGTTCATCTTGATGAAGACACAAGGCTGCCCAGTGCTGTAGCCATAGTGAGTTAGGTCTCCTATGCCGGAACATTCACCCAGCTGGGTCCGGTTGAATTGGCAAGCACGTTTTGGGTAGTTGAGAACTCCATTATCAGGTTGTTCATAATAGCGTCCAGGGCGGCAGACATCATTCTTTTGGGCTTGGATGGAGTCATTGTAAGCTATATGAAGGTGGGGGAGAGAGTCATTGGCCTGATGTCCTGCCTTCCAATCCCCTGCTCAAGGTCCTGAACAGTTACATAGCCAGCCCCACACTCACGCTCCAAGAATTTGTTGAGCTTCTGAACATGCTGGTCCCAGCTTTCAGTGTCACTGACGTTGACAATGACATCAAGGTTCTCAGTCTTGGGACGAATCATCAAGCCTAAACAAGGTCAGGAGCATATATGGATGAGAGGCCACACACAGAGGAAAGAAGATATACAGAGAGCACATCAGGAGAGGGGTGGAGTAAAGATCTTAATGGAGGAAGATTTCTCTGAATATCTGCTGTGTTAGCTTTCAACTGCAGGAAATAGGAGGAAAGGAAAACTTCAAGAACTTCCCAGCACAGAGAGATAGGATCATCAGAATGAAACACCTTCTGTGAGTTTTCTTAGCCTCTGAGCTCCTTTTGGAAGTTTAGGAAGCAGGACAGTGGTTAGTTTGGTTGGTAGCGGGCATCTCCTCACTTACCTGGTGTGGCCAGTCGGTCCTGGTACTTGGGGGTATGGTCAGAAACAGTCTGTAGCATCACCCACATGGTGAGAGTGAACATGGCTGTGAGGAAGCCATAGAAGACGAGGTAGAAGAGGAGGATAAAGGCTAGGAAGGAGAAAATAGGGTCAGTAGGTTCCAAAGCTCCCACCATGACCTCACCTACCCCCATCCACCTTCTTCCCCCCTCAGAAGTTCTGCTCTGGGATGTCCAGAGTGACGTCTTAAAGCCCTCCCCTGGGAGCAAAATGAGACAAGTTGGAAACAGGCAGCTGTGCCTGGCTTCCAGTCATTACTCCCAGGCCCCTCCCGGTGCTAGGGCACAGTGAAGTGCAACCAAATGGCAGCCGCAAGAGACCTAAACTCTCGTTGCTGGGACAACCCCAAGTATAGTATATTTGCCTCAAATCACATTCCCAACTTCTCAACCATCTGTGGCCCTGAAATAGGCACATCTGTTATCACTACCTTGGTACTCATGCCTAAAACTGTCCTACCCCAATGACTTTTTTTGTTGGCACTGGCCTCCATTCACAATCAAGCTCTTCATACCACCCTTCAGAGACTGAACCCTCACAGCATGAATTTGTAAACCTCAAATAGCAAAATCTCTCTCCTGCTCCCCTATAGAAGCCAAACCTCGAACACAGCTTCTGAAATGAAGGACCTTACACTCTAGCCTTGCTACAAAATTTGAGAGTGACAGCTGTCCAGTGCCTTCAACAGTCACACCCTAACACACACAACACCTAGAGTAGAGTCAGGGAATGCTGTGGTACCTCCCACAGGTCTTCCTTAACCTGGTTAGGTCCTTGTGGAGATGTTTGACACCACCACTCCATCACTCACTCAGCCTTATCCAACACCCTCCCACACACACACACACCTCTCAGACTCCCTGTCCTTTCATCTCAGAAGCCACTTCCTCCAGGAAACCTCCTCAGATTCTCCCAAGCGTTCTAAACCCCTCAGATCCCAAGGGCTGGACTAGGGGCAAGAACCACAATGGAACTGCCTCCTGGATTCTAGGTGGGTGGCCTGATGGGGACTGTTCAATGAATGTTGGATGAATTTTAAACTGGGTCACACTGTGTCCCCTGTGCTTCAACTTTCCAGATGGACAAGACCTTTCATAAGAATTCCACCCTTCCCCTGCACTGCTGCCATGCCCAGACCAGAGACCACGAGCAACTCTCTCCACACACCCTGGGTCCCGCCATGGTATTGGGCGGGGACTGTCCTGAACCACGAGCCACCCAACTCCACAGGCACACTCGCCAGATGATGGGCACATCTCACCAGCAGTGACCACTCCTCCCTCTGCCGCAGACATCCGAGCGCAACGTCCAGCCTCGGACACCTCACAGTGTCGTCCCCCCCCCTCACCAGTCCCCCCCACCCCCAAAGCAGCCACAGAGGGCTCCCAAAGCTCTGCGATGGTACACGGACAACAGTGATGGTATACGGACAACAGTGACCAGCTAGCCCTCCAGCAACCCCCACCCACCTCTCCAAGACCCGCCCCCTCGTGAACGTTCCCAGGGTCTAAGGGGTGGGCACCAGCTAAAAATAGACGGGGCTGGCAAGCTAGCAAGAGCCTGGGGGAGGGAAAGGGCGCTCTCCAAGCGGGGACGACCGCGCGGAGCGGCCAAACCCCGAGAGGTAGCGCGAGCGCAGCGACGCGGACACGCGCGCAGAGCCCGCGACCCCCCGCCCGAGGGGGCTCCGCAGGGGGCGGGAAGGCGGCAGTGACCTACTTTCTCCGCCTCCGCAGCGGCCAGTCGGGGAGATTAGACTGGTGATCGGTCCCCTCCCAGTCCAGAGCCCAGCAGGGGGGCCGGACGCCGGGACCCGGGACGGGCACTGGGGGAGCGCCAGCCAAGCCTTGCGTCCACGAGGCGTGGCTCTGCGCCCCCTGGCCCTAGCGCGCACGCCCCGCATACCCCAGCTGGCCCCGGTGCGGCCCATAAACTGGTGCGTCCTCGGGTTCCACACGAACTCCTTCCACTCCTCAACCACCTGCCCGCAGCTCTTCTTCTCTTTCCGGATGACCATCTTGGCAGCGCGGGGCGAGTCCCGGCTCGTGGCGGGGGGCTGCGGAGAAGCGGGGGCGCCACGCGCTGAAGCCCCGGACACACCAGACCGCGCGCAAAGCGAAGACCGTGGGGCCGTGGAGAACCCCCTCAGATATGCAGGTGCTGCAAATTCCGAGGTGTACAGCCACGCGCTGCGGGGTGCTGGCAGTGCGGCGGAGGAAGCACAGATCCCAGGCCCCCCGACTGCAAAGAAAAGGGGGGCTGTCAAAGCAGGGAAGGATTGAAAAGGGTGGGAATGTACCTTCACCTCCAAATCGCCTAGAAGCAAAACGTAAAGAGGTGCAAAAATAGACGGCTACAAAGCCCGAGTGAAACGCAGAAAAAAAGCGGGGTGCAAACAGGGGGGTAGAGATGGGGGAGGGGGACGCCCCGAAATCCGAGATGCAACGAGGCTGTGTGGAGTGGGGCCAGTCACTGCTCAAGGATCCTCCACCGAGAAGAGACCGCCGCACCAGCTAGGCCGCGGGGGTGGTGTGGGGACGCGCAGTTGGGGGACAGCCAAGGATGGGGGTCCCCCAGGCGGAGGCTGTGCTCCTCAACAGTGCAGGGCCAGCGGCCGTGGCGCGCAGTATTTATACTCGGCGCTCTGGTGTGCCCGCCCCCTTCCCCACCCCCAGAAGCCCCGCCTCCTCGTCGCTGGCCCAGGCGACCTCATACATATGCAGATATGGAGAGAGGGATTGGGTCCGTCCCTGTCGCTTCTTGGGGACTAGAAGGTCCCTTCCCTACCCACGCCCCAGGTACTGGACTACTTTGGGAAGGGTGGAAGGGTGAGAGGGTGTCAGTGCCGAGCAAAGAAAAAGATAACCCCAGAAAAACTCAGAAACACTGAGGGAAGAGGTGGGGGCCCCCAGGCAGGGACTTAGAGATGAAAACACAGCTACAATGGAAGAGTGCAAGAGACAGGCAAAGCATCATTGAGAGAAATAGAGGAGAGCCAGAGACCAACACAAACTGGCAGCCAAGAGACCAACCAGGGTGCAGGAGATGGAAGAGAGAGCAGGCACCCAGAGGAATTCCTGACAGGACAGAACACCACAAGAGAGAAGTTCCTGTCATGGGACCTGCTATCAGTTCTTCCAACACCACCTTCTCCAGTCCCACAGCCCCTTCTCCTCACCAACTGGTCCTCTACAGCACACAGCACAAGGGCTTTCCCACCTCCTCTCATCCTGCACCAGGTCTCCAGGCCTCTCTCAGTGAAGCTCTCCTAACACCACATCCCCAATGGCAGCATTGCCCTGAGACCCTGGCCCTGCAGTCAGGTCTGCTTAGTGTTCTACCTGCTCCCCAGCCCTGCCACGGCTGAATTCCCCTCCTCATGTGCCCACTGGGGTCAACAAACTTTGAGCATCTACTAGGGACCACATGCAATGCTAACTAAATCCATGAGACAAACGTCAGAGTTCTCACAGGGTTCAAGAGACCCACATTCTAGTAGGAAGAAGAGTCTTGAAATCCATGTGTTAAGAATCATTCTCTCTCTTTGAATCTCTCTTCGATCTTCACTATTCCTTGAAGAGGCCTTTCTTCTCCTTTCAACTCTCACTATAAATCCTTAACCCTAGTTTCAATAGATGTGAATACCTCTAGACTATCACTCTAATCCTCAAGCACTCTGTCTGTCTGTCTATCTCTCTCTCTCTTTCTCAGCTTCATGGGTGGATGACCTGTGTAGTTGCCCTGTGCTCAGAATGGCCCTGTGCTTGGTTTAATGCTCTGCTGTTGCTGTCTTGAAATTCATAATACTTTTCTCTTTGAACTTGGTTTTCTAAGTGAAGTCCAATGGAGAGGAGATACACACAATATGTGGTCCTGTTCACGTAGCGTTTGCAATGCTCCTTGAGCACAGAACTTTGGGAGTTCAGCAAGATTCAAAGCGAGTGAGTTCAAGGTAAAAACATAAGTCTACAACTAAAAAAGTGGCCTTGATGACAGTTGAGAGGCCAGTTTCCATTTGAACCAGAACTTGCTTTGAACACAGAAAGAAGGCAATGGCATTCTAAGAAACTTAGATGATGAAGACATACTATCATATCCTTTCTCATTCATGTTACTTCCTTGTATGAACCAGCCACTTACACTGGAAATTATATGGAAGGAAAGGGAAAGACCAGATGTGATACGGTGAATCACTACATAGAGCCCTTGTAGCCACAGTCTCATAATACTCCTGCTCACATAATTTCTTTTAGAAGGATCAGCAGAAGGCTGGTCCCTGTGATATGGAGGTTAAAGATGTCCCAAATGTCCAACTTTTCCAACCTGCTGTACTTACTCCATCATCTCTATCATCACCTCCTCCTCCTCCTCCTCCCCTCAGTATTCTCCCTCCCAACTCAGGATTCCATAGTTCCCTGTATCTTCTCATAGAACTCACGGGCCACCAAGGAAATGGCTCACGAGGTTGTGGAGGCTGGCAAGTCCCAAATCTATGGGTCAGGTGACAATCTGGAGAACTCTCCTCATTCATGTAGTTGCAGGGGCCAACAAACCCACATTGGCAGGTCAGATGACCGACTGCTGTCTCAAGTCCCAAGAAGCAGAGGTCAGATGATAATGAACTAGATGCAGGATCCAAAGCCAGCGCATTCATATATATTGGATACAGACCATACCCTCAAGGAAACTTAGGGTGGTGATTTGAGTTACACCCATCCTCTAGTAAAACAGTGACTCAAGATGCCTCCCACCCTAATCCTGCCCCATTAACATAACAGACAACTCACTCCAAAATGGGACAACCACAGGCCTAGAGACTGGGATTTATAATAAATCACAAAATGGTGGACTATAACTAGAAGGACTGTATTAAGTAATTCTCTGCACTGTAACTCCCACCAGAAGATTGGGTGGGACTATGCAAGTAAGCTGCTTGTGGTTCACCAAGGAGATTGGATAGCTTGCTAATAATACAAATAAAGTGCATGGCACCCTTGTATGGGTAAAAAAAAAAAAAAAAAAAAAACACAACCCAGTGCCATCAAGTCAATTCTGACTCATAGTGATCCCCAATGGGTTTCTGAGGCGGTAAATCTTTACGGAAGTAGATTGCCCAGTCTTGCTTCTGCGGAGTGGCTGGTGGGTTTGAACCACCAACCTTCTGGTTAGCAGTCAGATGCCTTAGTCACTGTGCTGCCAGAACTCCTTCCTGTGTGGGTGGGACCATGCAAATAAAGTGTATGGAACCCTAATGAGGGGATTGGTCAGTTTTGCCATCCAGTTAGGCTTAAAAGAGAGCCAATTCCAAAACAGAGAGAGGATTTCACAACCAACAAGAAAGAAGAGCCAGGAGTGAAGCACATCCTTAAGGTCCTGTGCTGGGAGCCTCCTAGACCCAGGAGCCCGAGAGAGAGAGAGAGAGAGAGAGAGAGAGAGAGAGAGAGAGAGAGAGAGAGCTGTGACACTGGAAAGACAGTGAGAAGAAATGGCTGAGAGATGGTAGCAGCAGAAACAGCAGAACCAGGAGACTTACAGGAGACATTATGGTGGCCTTCCTGTCCCACAAAGCTAGAAAGCTGAGTGCTTTCAGACAGGAGTCTTTTTAGCAGAGTAGGGTGCCTCTGGATACTTATCAGCTAAAAGAGTTTTGTAACACCTGTCTGCGGAGCAGGGCAGAGGCCAGGCCTGCCCAAGAGGCCTCTGGGAGGATGGGGGGCCAAGGACCAGAGAGAAACCTGCCTGCAGGCATGGCTAAGAAGTTGTCCTGATTGAAGAATTGCACGTTGAGTTGTTTCTGATCCTGATTTGTAACCTTTTACTTCCCTAATAAACTCCATAACTGTGAATGTGGCCTGTGAGTTTTGTGTGGCCATTGTGACAAATTATCAAACCCAGTAGGGAAGTAGAGTAGCTGTGGGAGGGACACAGGGCAACCATACTTCTTTATTCAGAAGAACATTGAATACGAAATAAAAAACACCATTACAAATTGAGAAAAGTACTGTGGAAGAAAGGAAAACATTTTATATGTTAGAGCCTTCACTAGCACATTTTTGCTGCTTTTTGAACAAGGGACCCTGCATTTTCATTTTGCACTAATTCCCACAAATTATGTAACTGACCCTGCATCAGTCCATTCTGCAGTAGACTCTGGGTTAATCTTCTCAAAATACAGCTTTAATTAGGCCACTCCTCAGCTCGGAGGTCTTCAATGGCTTTCCATTACTCTGCAGGACTAGAATCCTGATTATTCTGCCTAACCTACAGTATAGTCCACACTGTAGACCCCGGCTGCATCTCCACCCTACTTTCCCACTAGTTACCCAGCACTCCCCAGTTGAAGATGAGTTGGCCACTCCTGAGACAGTCTGGGCTTGCTCCTGACTTTACACCTTTGTCATTTAATCCCCTCAAGCTGAAAAGGAGCTCTGGTAGCATAGTGCCTAAGGCACTTGACTGGTAACCTGAAGGCTTCCGGTTCAAACCCACCAGCCACTACTCAGAAGGAAGGTTGGGCAATCTACTTCCATAGTAATACTGCCTTGGAAAACCAAGGAGGAGTCACTATGAGTCGAGTCGGGTCCGACTTGACCGCACATAACAAGAACAACAACAAGCTGGATACTGACCACCCTTCAGAGCCCAGCCACAACCCCTGTTCATTCATTTAGTCCATGTCTGATAAGTATGTGATTAGAGTATTTGATTGATAAGTATTTGATTAGCACTATTGTGGTGCTTGTGATTCTGGGACTCTTATTCTAGTAGACAACATAAATAAATAAAATAATGTTAATATTATACAGGTAAATAAAACAAGATGATATGATAGGCAGTTCCTGCATGGTCAGAGATGGCCTTACTGAGGAGATGAATTTTAATGTGAGACCTAAATGTCAAGAAGCAGTCATGGGGATGTGAGGGAAGAGCATTCCAGAAGGAAGGAAGTATACCAGCAAAGGCTGGGATTTAATGAGTGAGCCACATTGAAAAAAAAAAAAAAAAAGTTGCCATCTAGTCAGTTCCAACCCACAGAAACCCCATGTATTACAGAGAACTGTTCTATGGAAGCAGATAGGCAGGATTTTTCTTTTCATGGTATCACTGAGTGAATTGGTACCCAAACCAAACCACTGAGTCAATTCTGACTCATAGTCAAGCTCTTTAACCACTGTGCCACTAAGGCTCCTTGAGTGGGTTGGTAGTGGAATGCAAACTGTTTGTATCACCTCAGGACCTTTACTGAGAGAAGACGTTCGAGAGGTAAAAACCAAAACAAACCAAACTCACTCCCATTGAGTTGATTCTGACTCAGTGACCCTTTGGGTTTCCAAGGCAGTAAATCTTTACAGAAGTAGATTGCCCAGATTTCCTTCT